AGGAATCGCAGTCAGGGCCTGGCGTTTATCGCTCAAACTGCCCTCACGCATATACGTGCAGCCTTGATCGTCGTCTGTACAAACAAAAGCGAGACAAGATTGTGAATTCCGAAGTGTTGTGGAAGTACGACTCTTCGCAGAGTACTCCAAGGATCGAACTGCTCGATCGCTCACCCACTCGTCTGCGTCAAAACACAATGAGAAAAAATGCTAATGCAACTTCGACGGCTACGAAGCCGATTTTTCGGCTCGGAGAGAGTAATGACGGCAAGGCAGACAGAGAAGATCATCAGCAAAGTATCGAGTTCGTGAAACCGTATTTTACGGCCGACTTTCTGAAGTACACAACCCGCGGCCACGACGGCGCGTTAAGGAATTCAGCACCGACGGAGCGGCCGGTAATGCAGGAGTCGAAAAAGCTATCGTCCGCTTCTGCGAAATCGTTTTGTCGTGGCCGTGTCTCGCATCTCGTTAAGGGCGAGTATCACGACCCGTTGTCGTCAGCTCAGAGTTCTCTTCCAAAGATGCGAATGCCTCAGCGACCGCCACCTTCCAGTCCTACCCAGGATGCCAGCAGCTGGCATGACGATGCTGATCGTTCCAAGCTTCGAACGGCCACCATCGTTTAACGTCATTCGCAAATCGGTCAAAGGAACCGTCATGTTCTGCTGTAGATTTTCTGTTTCGAAGTGTTATTTTTATGATTATAATTACGATCTCTGTTGATTCTGTTGATGCAGATCTGAGTAGCACGTACCTGGATATGTGCAACATGTGCATTACGATAGCTTGCATGGCACTCCGTGGAGTCGAAGTGCCGAACATTCATATGTAGTATTTCTTCTTTGATAATAAAAATTTGATTTGTGTCTGCAAAAATATAGTTAATCGTGATATTAATTACTGCATTTGGGTGCTGTATCTGCTGTAATGGTCATGCAAATATAAGTGAGATTAAGAAGTTTTATTACTTCTACTGATGTAGAAAGTACGGCCGCGATGCTTCCTTGCTGTTGGCGAACTCCTGTATACAACGAAACCTGGTCAATATGCAATGCTGAGACCGAAACGAAAATTAACGGGCCATATGAGGCCTGGTCAATTTGAAATTTTCAAAATCAAAGTGTCTGCTAAATAGATATGCGAGCATGATAGATGAAAAATAGATGTATACATTGTCACAGAATTCGCTGTTGAGCGACAGCATTAAACGATTTATTTTATGGACAACCCTAAACTGATCAATCAAGTGACTGACTCACTGATTTTGGCTTGCATTTCACAGTTCTCTAACGTAAAGAAATATTTCCTCTGTCGTTTAAAACCGAGAGGGGACTCTCCGTTCAGGCAGCCAGCGCGAAGATACTCGTTCAATTCGTGTTTTCTATCACGGTTGACGTTGGGTGACTAATGTCTCCTCTCTCCATTCAGTCTGCTTCTTCCCTTAATAGTTCCGGTACACTTCGAACATAGGGTGGGAACCTTCCCACATCCGTATTGCCAATCGCAGGCTGATTCGCGTTCCATCTTAATTTAATTCGAGGCGAGGCTTTGAGTTTTCTTCTCGAATGCATGCTTTTCATGTTCCTTCAAGGCAGTACAGTTTCACTTCTGGATGTCTGTGCTCTGAACTAGAATATGTTTGGATTCTCCAGTGGAAACATTCAGTTATACTATTGCCTATAAACCAAATATAGAAATTATTCTGAAAGTTATTTAATTGAGAATTA